TTTGTATTATTAGTGTAGGACACTTATGTATGTACAACATCTGAAGATGTGTAGTTTTATTCATGCTTTTACATAATTGCACAGCATATTGCTATACTATTTCAGACATTGTTATATTTAAAGAAAACCAGTAATATCTTTAAAAACTACAAGTCCTTTTATATCAGCTGTGCACCGTTATGGTGTAAATATAAACTATCTACGAATTAGATCAAATGTAAAAGTCAGCCGAATTAGTGTTGATACTGCAAGGAGACGTATTGTGTGGAGAGAAATTGAAGATGTTGTTTAATTGTTGATATATTTATGATCCACGTCAAGTATTCAGTTTCGGCGGCATTTCTTCCAGTTTTTCCAAAGGTCTTCTCATCAGGGCTCTATAAATAAAGAACTACGGCAGATCTGTAATATGTAATGCAGCCGGACCGTGTATTACAATGCCGTTATGTGATGACTTTCAAAGAGAAAAGCAAGAACACTCGGAATTAAATATTATTTTATTCTTTTAAAATGTTTTCCGGATTTCATATCATATAAACACCAAATCCCAGCATGCATTGCGGCTAAACATCCAATCAGCGAGCTTAAACCATAGCTGAGGATCTTGGGTAATCGCTCGAAATGCCTACGTCTGTTTCCGGTTATTTTTATTTTGAAATTCAGTTCCTGAAGGACGCCAACAAAGCCCGAGATTATGGAATTAAACCAATAAATAAAAGCAAGGATAATTGTGTGTTATTGGTGAGTAAATAACAGTGTGTTATTTTGAAAAGAATAACAAATTAGAAGGAAAAAAAATATTTAAAAAATACAGATTTCAGTGTTCTGAGGCTCTGAGCCCCATTTATTTTCCTCAGAGAAAAGGAAACAAAAGTCCGAAATTATACGATTTAAAATAAAAGCAATAATTGTGGCTTGATATTGAGTAAGAACATGTTTTTATGAACCACACAGCTTCCGGTCTTCCACGACCCGACCGGAGAAAAAGACGTGCTGCAGGCACGAAACACATTACCAGTAGAAATACATTTCTTTTAAAATCGTGCTGTGCAACACGAAAAAAAGGGGGAAATCGTGTTGGTGAACACGAATCAATAGATTAAAAATCGTGTTGGTGAACACGAAATGCCATGAGACTGGGTTGCAATGGCAGCGAGTATCAGCGAGAGCAGCAGCAGCAGCGCATTTGCAACTTGGAAATATAACCACTATTTTAAATTTGTGGGGATAAAGGACGCAAAAAAATATTACGGTAAAATGTAAACTGCAGGACAGAAAGCATTGTCCACATCGAAAAACAGCAATGCCAATCTCCTGAAGCACCTAAGTAATGTACATGGGGCTATAAAACTAGTCGCCAAAGACCCCACCGTCTCAACCACCGGCAGTGACCCAGATGGAGCAACACCATCTAAACAGCCAAAAAACGATCTTTTTAAATCGCACTGTTATGTTTTATTGTTCCACCATTTCATAATGATAATTGCTACAATGATGGAGAGTTGTCTTTTCTCTTGTGCCACAGAACAACACAAAAACTTGTATTTTTATTGTTATTATTTTTAAAGTAAATTAACTTGTTACTAGCTACTTTTATAATTTAGTAACTAATAAAGTAACTACTTTTTTGAGAGCAGTAACTATTACTAGTTACTTTTTTTAAGTAACTTGCCCAACACTGCTTACCAGTAGAACTGATTCTAAATATCTGAACTATAGCCTCTGATTATAAAAAGATACAAGGCAGAGATTAGCATATAAATATGACTATGACTCACCTGCCAGGATAAAACAGTTTCTAGTCACCTTTATAAAACAAAGTTTCACTAAGCGTTTGTGTGGCGTTGCGTCACTAGTGATGAGGGAAAAGGTGAGGCAAGGTGGGTAGCCCATCCTGGTGATGCAAGCAGATCGGTAAACAATTACTGTGTGTGCGTGCGTGTGTGCGTGTGTGTGATAGTTATCTCTATCACAGAAATTGCTATCCAAACACATCAAAAACATACATAAACACGTTTGCATTCATCCACTTGACAAAATAAGTTGATAAGGGCGTGGTGAGCTTTGATACAGTTTTGTCGGCAGTGAGGTGGGCCCTGAGCTTTTGTTGGTGGCCATGGAAACAGAGTAAACAAACGGGCAGATGGTTGGTCAGTGATAATTCACTTCAAATAAAAACCAACTGGAAATTCATGGGTGTGGTAACGTATTTTCCCCCTTCAGCTTTACAAGAGAAGGTCAGTTGCCAAGGCAAGAACTTTTTTATTTCTTCTGTTGTTTGTTTGACTTCCTGCACTGAAATTAATTCAGTCATGCTTGCAATGTGGCTCCTTGGAGGGCAAAGTCAGTTGGCCCGACAATTTGTTAGAAACTGAAATATCCTCACAACTATTGGATCAATGTCCATTAAATTAGCTTCAGACATTCATGGAGCCCAGCGGATGAATCCAAATGATGATCCTCTGACTGTCTGAACTGTTTCATGGATTGCCCTGAAATTTGGAATACACGTTATGTTTTCCTCAGGTTGAAATATAACAATTTTCCTCTGGCATTTTTATCAGTTTAATATTTTAATTAGTTTAAAACTTTAGTTTCATTCGCTAGATTGTACTTAGTGCAATTAAGCACATGTCAGCATGTTAACATGCTACGATAAAATGTCTTTGCATTTTTATGCTTATTAATTACTTTTCAGTCATTTTAAAATGATCTAAAAACAACCTTTATTGTTAATGTGGTTGTATTAAATACAACCACGGATGTGTATTGCCTTTAACTTTTTGCATCAGTTTTGTATCAATTGTAAGTTAGATACTAGATTTAACCATTTCCACTGAACTGTTGTAAAGACTAGCATGACTGCATCACTAAATGCAGTAGAGAGCACCACCTGGTGATGAAAACTGAGCGTCAGTGCAACATTTACAGTCATTCGCAGGTCATACCGGCCGGGTGTATGACTCTGCTGATTTGTGTGTGAAACGATAAACCCACAAGAATTTAGGAGAGCACATAATGATTTCAGCCCACAGCAATAAAAGAGAAAAACAGTGTTTAAGATAAGAAAGACAAAGGAGCTGATGATCAATCCTTTCGAAATATGACTGTGCACACTTTGATTACCACAGCAAATATTTCGTTTTGCTGGATGTGGACATATTTATTATGTGTTCACTGCATTTGAATGAAGGCATGTTGCAAGACTCATGCGCCCTTTTTTGAACGTTTCCTGTGGGGGTCTTAAGATATGCCGTGTGAATTTGTTTCTTGTGGTGTGGTCTAAGTAAGTGCACCATCAGCAGAGCTTTTTTTTCTCTTTATAGTTAAGAACTCCATGTTCTCTGCATTGACATTACTGTAATACTGTCATGCAGGAAGCGTTTCGGCATTATGACAACCTCAAGAGCAGCAAGAGAGAAAAACACAAACATGTGCTGTCATGCTTACTGAAACATCAACATTTTTTTTATTTAGACACAGAGCTCACACAACCTGAGAACAGAGAACTGAAACACAAATCTTTGATGCCATGAACGTATGAAACTACAGGAGCTTCTGTAATGGAAACCTATTCTAATAGTAATACAAAATTACGAATATGTTGCACCGTTGGAGGAGCCTTTGACCTAAGATTTTCATTGACATAGCTATGTACAAATGACAATAAAAGCCTTGAATCTCAATGTTGATCTTGAAAATAAGAAAGAAAGAAATATGGATGTCTAAGAATAAATATAATTGGTTTTGGGTTTTCATGCAGTTGTAATGACGAGGAAAAAAAGGGACATGCCTGAGAATCAACCTAATTATAAAATATATCCATATGACTTGAGCTATAGTCTATTTAAGCTTCTGAATCTGTCTGGTTGGCGGATTGCTTTGGAGTTTTGCTTTCCCCTGAAGAAAATATAGCGCTTTTCTACATAGATTTAGAAAAATCCCTCAAGAAAACATATAATGTACATTTCTTCCTTTTACAGTAAGGAGGATAAAGTGAACGTAGCATACTATTAGCACATAAATAGATGTTAACGAACTGGGTAGATTATATTTCAGACTTTTTCATTGTCTTCTTGATCCAGATTATTTGTTTTTCTGAGAGAAAAGAGTACACACCCGGGAATTTTTTCATGCCACAATTCTTTCCAAAAGAAGTGACACCGACCAGGGCTCCATTGCACAACAGTGGGCCTCCTGAGTCCCCCTGGAGAGATAATAAATAATACAACATTACATATTAAGACACATACGCATGAGTTAATGGGTACATTTATTTACAGTTTATTTCCTTTACAAAAAAATCGAAATGCACTCACCCCACAGGTATCAGCCGCTTCTTTCACTACTGAACCAGCACATAGATGGCCCCTGGTGATAAAAGGGTTCAGGTTGTAATGCTTAGGAGAGTTGCACTCCATTCTATCGATCACGGTGACATTGACAGACCTCAGGACATCTGAAACAGTCTTGGCGATGTTGTTTGTTTTTCCCCATCCAGCCACCAGACAGCTGGTGCCAGCTGTTGGATATTTGATGGTGTCCCCCAACGGGAGACATTTCACCGTCTTGGTTTGCTTCACCGGTTTGTCAAGCTGAGATAAAAAAAAATGTTTGATGCTGACCAGCTGTATGTTGTCTTTCAGAAATGTAAGGCTTATGAAATGAATGCTCTTTGTCTTTCTTTTTTTAATGTTTTGTACCATTTCCCTATGTTGGTGTCATTGTACTTATAGCAACCTTAAAGCTTGAAAATGATTCCACTTTCACTAAATATACTTCCTTCAAGTTAAAACAAGTTGTATTGCACTTGGTTAGAAAGAAAAAACAAACAAGACAGGCTCTCCTGCCTTGCCAAACCAAAAAGCATATATTAAGTTCAACGAAATATGCTCCTGAATCATCTATACTGTTTCCGAGATTGCATATTTTGCACCTTTGCTTCAACTTGGTTACTTGTGATTACAATTTACCTTGAGCAGCATGAGGTCATTGATGTGGTCTGTTGCATCATAGCAGGGATGAGGAAAACTTTTCACCTTGCGGACCTGCCTGGAATCTTTTACATCTCCTTTGATTGAGTGCACTCCCAGAATCACTTTCGTAAAGCTGCGAAAGCAGAAAACAGAGTTTACATTCCATTTAAAAATGTATCTTCGATAGCGCTAAATTCATACTTGCTTTTATAAATCTGCTTTTGTATCCAATACTTGGGCAATCCTATTCTCACAACCTTTCAGTCTCTGTCTTGAAGTACGTTTGTTTACGTCTGTGTTGGACTTATGTGTCTGTTATTTGTGGGTGTACAAGAGTTGCTATCAGAAATGGAAAATGAACCCCAGTGTAAACAGTAGTTTCCTTTTTCTTTTCTTTTTTTACCATGAATAGTATTTCAGGTTAACTTTGACTGTTTTACCAAAGTGCAGAATCATTTCTTCATTGAGATGAAAATGATTATAATATTATATAAAACATATATCATCAGTATAGGTTATACAATAGTTTTATTGTATAGGAATGTTTGTATCATGCTCTTACTTTTTACAGTGGGCAGCAGTCAGGACCCATTTTGGATGGATCAGTGTCCCTCCACAGTGCGGAGGCTGCATCAGAGCCATGAAAGGCAGCGAGTGGGGAGCCACTTCTTTCCCTCCAATAATCTCAGAACCATGACCTTAAACAGAACAATAATTCGATAATAACAGTTCAATAATTTTGAAAAAAGTGTAGAAATGAATCAATAAATGGTAAACCAAATAAATTGCAACACTCTGCCTCAGCTGCACTGTAATATTGAAAGTAACGCATGACTATGCATTCTGCATGCTTACATGAGTGAGGTAGATATCATAAAGTAAATGCCTGCAATACAAAGAATGTTTTACTCACATGATTGGACAATGAGAAGGACCACACACGAGATAAAAACAATGATATCCCTTGGGCACAACATTTTCCTTATCTCTCTCTCTGATGTGACGGTGAATGCTCTTCAACATTACCTTGAAGCAAACACTCGTATTTATGTGTTGCAGTTGAAGGATGTGGTCTGACCTTGGAAATGCATGAGTCAGCAGAATGGACGCAAGCAAGACATGAGAATTGGTGTGTTCGGTCTTCATTTAGAAGCCTGTGGTAACAGTTTTGTCATTTCCCACTCATTAGCATGTGATAGTCTGCGTGGTGGAGGCTTTTTATTTACGTGAAGCAGGTCACATCATCAGGGTGATGTTGACGATGTGGGACCACCGCATCAGCTAAAACTGGAGGCTGTTGTCAAGCGTTTCAGCTACAGTGATGAGTGTGTGTTAAAAATGATTCAAAGGAATTAATGAGAAAGTGGAATATGTTGTCTAAAGTGACACGAAAGACACATGATCAATAAGACATAACTCAGAGGAAGAGTTAACTATAAAGAGAATTGGATGCTTATTTTATGCTACCTTAAAGTATAATTCAGTAATTCACTTAATATCTTTCTTGTTGCGAGCTAGATTAGAATACAGAAGCCCTTTTTGTATCTACATTAAATACTGTAAGCTACAGCTGGTTAGTTAGCACAAACTACGAGACTAGAAAATAAATACTCTATCTTGGCTTTGTCTAAAGGTAACAAAGTCAATTTTCCAGTACCTCTAAAGCTCAATAACATTATATCTAATTTATTTAATCAGTGAAAATATTTAAGCGTAAAGGGCCAAGTAACTTTCTAGCTGATAGACTTCAACCACTCCCCACAATTATCATCACAACAACCATGGACGCGGGAAGGGGGGGGTGCAGAGGGGGCTGCAGCACCCCCATCTGCGAGGCTCCACTAGCACCCGCATCCCCAAACGCGGCGCACCTACAGTGAAAGCGCACCACAGTTTTGCCGCTGCGAGGCTACACTAGCACTTTCCCTGTTTGTTCGTAATACAGCACTGATTTTGGTTCGTACCTTTAAGGTAACATTTTAATAGAGGTGGAACTATTTTACGGTATTGTGTTTAACCAGGGCTGCCAACACTCACGCATTGAGCGTGAGAGTCACGCAATCAACCCATATCTCACGCACTCATGCCACACTTGCCTTTCCTCACGCTAAGTTTTCGTCCAAAATAAATGTATATACAAATTAATTGAAGGAACAGCAAACCGAGCGGTCTACGAAATGACTCATGAACAAAACGTTATTCAGACACAAATGACGTCTCCTAAGTACCGTGGTAAGGTTGACAACGAACTACAATCACATTTTGATCAAAAAAAGCCAATATGCGCCGTCCTCCGAGCTGGACACATTACATTGGTCTCTATCCGCAGCCGGAGAAGAAACGAGTGCTCAGGGACCGTCTGCAAAGTGTAACTCCGAAAAAAGTGAATACAATAATATTCAATCACTATTATACAGCTTATTACTACCAAACTCACTACACACATCACTAGTCTCCTGGTGGTCATACTACAGCAGAGAGTTTTGAAAAATATGCTTTTTAATAATTTTGGGGAATATTTATAATGTAAAATCTTCAATAAATATGGCATCATCTTAAATAACTTTACTATTATAAAGTATATTTCTACCAAACTCTCTATTTGCGTTGTTGTTGTTAGCATCTGTTTAGCTAGCTGCGCTAACGGATAGAAGCTGTTTCTCAAACAATGAGAGGGAGTCAGAGCTCTCTCCTGTCAGACTGAGAGATAACTACAGCTCAGTGAGGTAAGGGACTCTGTTTATATAGTTAACTTTAGTCTAGTTATCTCAGTGGGTCTCAAACGTTTTGGTCACCATTTATTAGAATACATGAAAAACAGTTATGAAATACTATGACAGTAAAACAAGAATACAGTTTAAAAGGGGAGTGATTTGTAAAATATCCATAAAGAAAAAGAAAATCTGTTTCCAGTTCTGTTTCATATGGGTGTTGAGAGATGTATCCTTAAATTCATTTTTGCTCTCAAAATGCACCAGGTTGATGCATTTAACTTCAATATTTAAAAAATCTTCCCGGAGGAACAGGCCCCCGACCCCCCCCCCCACTACACTGGCTCCCCGTAGAACTGAGGATTGAATACAAGGTCTCCCTCCTCACCCACCAGTGTATCCATGGAACTGCACTCAGATATGAAGTGCGTTATAAATTAAACCCATTATTAGGGTCTGAGACCTAGGTCGGCGAAGACCCTATTGAAATCGGTCGCCAGCGACCGATAAACCTGCGAAAAAACACCCAAAAACAGGGAAAACGACCGGCAAAAGCACAGAAAAGGTTCGGAAATCATGACGGCTGATAGGCCGCGCGAGCCCAGTCACGTAACTCATAACTCGCATAGCTGATATCGTTACGATCTATTTAGTCGCTCACAAAGCGAGCGATAACCATGCAAAACCCACAAAAAACAGAAAACGAGGGGCAAAAGCCCATTAAAAGTGGCCTAAATCATGACAGTAGGTAGCCCATGCGACTACAGTGAGGTGGGCGTACTTGAAATATGTAATTGGTTCCGGAACTTTGCGTCAAAAATTACGTAGGCCACGCCCACTTCAATTTTTAACGTAAACTCCCCCTACTTTAACTTTCACGTAAACGAACGAAACTCGCTACGCATATCTAGGGTGCGGAGACGAAACCAAAAAGCCTCTTGGAGGGGTATAAAATAACGTACAGGAAGTCGGCCGTTTGGAATTTGGCGTTGGAAAAACGCGATTTGTCCTCCGAACGAAATCTATCTTCTCCTAGGGACTTTATCCCTACGACTCGAAATTCGTCGGGTAGCTTCTCAAGACATGGGCAATTTAAAGTTATCACGCAAACTTTTCTT